TTTCTGGCATGCCCAAGGGACGCAACTCTGCACAGCGAATCACGGCTCCTTAGACGACTGGGCCTCCCGTGTCCCTGAACCAAGATGTAAGAATCAGTTGCCGTGATGGAAGGGTAACACAACATGGTAACATTACACTGGCCTGATTCCTGTTAGTCCAATGTATAGGTTACAAGTATATCACGTTGGGGGACACCAGAAATCGGCTTCACACATTATACCCATGTCGGAAATCGGACACGGTCTTCAGCGTGACGAACTGTCCAACCGTTGACATTTTATGTATAATAATATCATCAAATGTGTAATATTGATTTGTTTTGTGTCTACAGGGATGTAAATTGTGTATGTGTGTATATCTGTATATATGACTAATAATGTTTCATCTTACAAATTGCATCTGTCCCGTAATGGAATGTTTCTGCAATAAATATTATCTTATCTATCTCATCTTATCTATGTTCTGCAGATTAAAAAGATATCGGTCCACTTATAGCTGAACCATTTGGATTTTCGTTCATTGGGCGTAACACAATTGCCTTTCAAATGCTTTTCAAAGCAGGAAACACATATTACAAAGTATAATTCTTTTTTCATGAAACGTTTATCAACATGATCAAGTCAATTTTGTACGAAAATATCAAAGGTACCACAGTAGACATTGATGAATAAGATAAACAAATGTTTTTTTAATTAACAAATCAAGTAGGTTTGGTTTTTTTGGTGTGTTTTGAGGTCTTTTTTGTTGTTGTTGTTTTTGTTTTTACATGAAGTGGAAGCAATAAACTGAATTCAACATTTGACATAATTAGAAAGAGAGTCCCACAACCCTGTTCATACCCCTGCAGGTGCCATGGACATCACGTTTCTGCCCCGTGCTACTATTGATGCTCGTGGTCTTCTGGTGATATTTATGTAAAGGCGAGAAGTTCAGTTAACACGAACTATATAGGAATATTTTTATTTTAGTTTTCCTTACATGTAAATACCATAATGCTACTAAATTACTAGTCTGCCTCACAGAACCTGAACCTTATTTTTCTTCCGCCTAGCACTTACTGTAAAAATGAAGCAAGTCTACAATTTTCCAAAGCTGAATCTCTCATTCTCAGGATCTTTTTCAATGTATTGGAGTTATTGGTTTCTATCAAAATTATATGGGTTTCTTTCTTTTTTTTGACTAAGGGTTTCTTGTACTAACATACCTCAGTGTGCGCCTACCCCATAACTGCCATCATTAATAATGATTAATGAATTGCCTAAATGGGCTGAAGCCCGATATGTATATAGATGGTTACCAACTGTTTTTAATGAATAGACACTGGCCCACACCATCAGTGCTATACTCTAAACAACTCAGACCAGCTCCCCCTGCCTGTTTGACTGGGGCAGGGTCACAGCTGATAAGATCATGGTTCAAGAGTATCAGGTTCAGTGAGAAAATGGGGGTAGGGGGGGGGGGGGGGGGGGTTGCTGGCCGGGAGAGGTTAAGCTTGTGCAACAAAGTGTGCTGTGAGTAACCCTGCATTGGAGTGTAGTATACCACCTCCCTTACACGTGTATGGTCGCCCGTTCTGTATGGAGTTTGTTAGTTTGGTTTTGGGGTGTTTTTTTTTTTGGGGGGGGGGGGGGGGGGGGGGAGGAAAACTTTCCGCTCTATTTGTAAAATTTCCCTGTTGGGTGAAACGGCCACCACTGCCATTGTGGTTTTCCCTGATTTATGACTGTTATTCCGAGGACAGTAAAATGTTGACTGTGTATGTGTGTCTCTAGGGCTCAAGGTAGAAGTGTGTGTCTTGTGGTGTGTGGGCACGAAGGTACTGGCTCAAATTAACAACATTTACTGGCTGGAGTGAAGATTGTCGTGAATTAGTGGGCTAGTCCACCTGTTCACTCAGTAAGTGAATTGCATGCTTACTTTTGACTCAAACTGAGGGGACCCAGCGGTGTAAACTGTGTTCTAAATAACTTTAGCAAGTGTAGACTATCGTCTAGTAATCACAAATATTTTTACATTCTGAGATGCATTTCCAAGAACAAGATCCCTGATAAAATCATCCTTGTTTCGACCAATTATAGCCGTTGGATGCCTGACCACTTGTAAGAAGTCAGTAAATGGCTCAAACGTTTGTTGTTTCATGTCCATAAGGTCATTGGCACTATTTAGCGCAATGATTGAGTTCAGGGAATTTCATTGGGAAGTCTTTTCTTCAAGATTTGCTAGGAGCAATTATCTCTCAATTACCTCGCCATTCACCGAGGCCGGTGATGCTCCCATTCACCGAGGCTGGTGATGCTCCCATTCACTGAGGGCCTGAAATGTGTACTGGCACCATGAGACTGGTATGCTACTGGTGTGCTTATTATTGGTGCTGGGCTCACTAGGTCAGATGGAACGACCTTACTACTTGTGAGTGGAATTGATAATAAAGCCAACTCACGCCTACACTGTTGAACGACAGCGGTACTGTTATTGTTTGAGTCTGGTGTATTATATTCAAGGATCTCGTTCTTTTACAATACAATGCATCAAAATATTGCTTACATAACCAGGCCCGGTCCAATGAAATTTGGCACCACACAAAATGTTAAAATGTCACAATTGTTAGTTCTGTCCATCACTTCCTGGCACGTCACTCCACCACTGGGTCCAGGTGTATCCGTCCGCTCGTCTCTCCCAACGCCCCTCCATAGCAAGCCTGGAGTGGTCCGTGGATGTGCAACCGCCTGCACCGTTTTGGATGTGCAAATGTCTGCACCGTTCCAGTTTTGCAAACGTCTGCACCGTTCCTCCCAACGACTGTAATCTCCGTCACAGTGGACGTTCTCATGCAACCGCTGCACAGCCAACTCTCACTAGTTTGCTCTGACTTGGCCTGGCGTATTCTCCGTGTCGGCACTGGCCAGGGATTCTGTGCAACCGCTACACACCGCCACTTCGCTTGTGCAACCGCTGCACAACGTCACTTCACTTGTGCAACCTCTGCACAACGTCACTTCACTTGTGCAACCGCTGCACACTGTCACCTGACAATGCTTTTTGGCAGTCGTCAGGAAAGATCGTACCCCGCATCAGTCCATCACGTGTCCAAGGTAATTTTAGCTCCTTAATGATCGGGGGTAATTGTTGTTAATTACCAGGGTATAGCCAGTCGCGTACCTCTTCTGAACTACGGCAATCCACTCGTTCTTGGTGCTGACAGTCTGGGATGTGCGAGAGGTACAATGTCAGTACCAGAAGGCCTTGGACCTTTTACCGTAGTTCTTCCAACCAGCACCAAGAGTGATCTTCGTTGAACAGCTTTTATTCCCACTTTGTGTTGCCAGTCAACCCACTCTAATTGTCACTTAAATACGAGACTTCGGCCGCAAAGCTTCAGTCTCAGTCAAAATGCTAGTGCTTAAGTTTGGTTTCTGGTTCGAAAGATCTTGACAACAAGCCGAGAACGGAGCACCAGTCCAGATGTCGTCTCCCCAGCCGCTCTCCCGATCTGGAGGCTTTTTGGCCAAGAGCGGAGCACCAGTCCAGATGTAGTCTCCCCAGCTTCTCTCTAGCCGTCCTCTACCCATTTTCTAGCCGTTGTCTCGATTTGGGGCTTTTGCCCCTTTTTAAACCAGTACCTACGTCACATCTCGACTCATTTTTCCATCTATCATTGGTCAACCACCTTTCCCCCCTACACTAGATCATTCTAACCCACTCTTACCTAATAACCAGCACCTTATTCGGACTTGTTATGATGTAGCTTCTCACCCTTTTGGAATTCGAAATATTTTCCCCCCCAATACCATATATGTCTCAGGTCCCTAACGTTTCCGTCCCTCTCACCTCCGTTCCACTTTTATCTACTTCCCATCTGGTTAATTGTTTTTCATTAATGTATAACCCTCGACCTACTACCCTCACCCCTGGTTATTTGTGGCCAAGTATGTTCCCCGTAGTCTTCAACTATCAGAGTTGCCCGTCTCCTATATATTTATATCAATGTGCTAAGTTCATATCTTACAGGTTTCAACTCCTCTTGACCTTTTTATACAATCACGTAGGTGTCTTAATGAATTTTTAATTACTTTAATTAGTTGTTAATTACTGTACTTTTATGCCTATAATACAAGTACTACACCAGCACAAAGCACAACGATCTCCCTTAATTTCGAACACTGGTTGCATGTCCCATTCATAAATGACACTTTGGAATTTCAGTGGTTTGATCCACTGGCCAATCACTGTTTGATTCCAAACATTACAGCATTGGAAATTGGCACTTGTCCTGTAGTCCTTGGTATCATAAGAACTAGAAGAAATTTGCCATTTTTAAGGGTTTTGCTATATGTTATCATAAAAGGACTTGCATCTTCCCGAGGCAAGAGAGTTAACTGACTATAAAAGTCCAGTTTCCACCCTTGCCAAACTAGGCTGGTATTATGGAGTTACATTTTGGCTGGACTCACGAATCTATGCATAGTCCAATCAAAATTGCGCACCAAAATCGAAATCCGGTTCATAAACTTGATTTGCAAAGCATGTGCTGATTATCGATCAGATCATCCTGACTTGGGCGCCACCATTTTGTGTGAAGCAAACGCAAGTGATACGAGAGGTGGAATCTAATTGGTCCATAGGCATGATAGGAGAGGCTTAGAAAATCAACATGTACAGACAGGTACACAGTTGGATGAAGATCTCTATTAATGTGAAATCATGCTTGTTGTAAAAGGGGACTAACGGGATCAGGTGGTCAGGCTCCCTGACTTGGTTGATGCATGTCATCGATCCCAATTGCGTGGATCGATGATCATGATATTAATCACTGGATTATCTGGTCCAGACTCGATTATTTAGAGACCGCCGTCATATAGCTGGAATATTGCTGAGTGCGGCGTAAACAACAAACCAACCAACCAACCATGTGAAATAATCTTACATGCAACGTAAAATTCCATTTCACCTGTAAATGTTGATCAACATCTTAAACATATGTTACCTTGCTATCTTTCAGACTGCTTGGACAGACAGTGTGTAGCATTATGCCAGGTCGAGGTAGAAGATTGCTACTACCTGGTCAGGGTATGCCACAGGATATGCCGCTGGGTGTACCACCAGGTTGGCCACTGGGTATACCACAGGATATTCAACAGGGTATGCCACAGGATATTCAACAGGATATTCAACAGGGTATGCCACAGGATATTCAACAGGGTATGCCACAGAATATTCAACCGGGTAGGCCACAGAATATTCAACCGGGTATGCAACAGAATATTCAACCGGGTATGCCACAGAATATTCAACCGGGTAGGCCACAGGGTATGCCACGAGGTATACCACCCGGTAGGCCACAGAATATTCAACAGGGTATGCAAGGAGGCGTACCACCAGCTAGGCCACAAGGCATACCGCCCGGTGGGCCACTGGGTATGCCACAGAATATTCAACAGGGTATGCGACTGGGTAGGCCACCGGCACTTCAGGGTATGAGACCGCTGGGCATGGGAAGAGGTCGTGCTGGCCGTGGTGTACGGGTGCTGGATAACTTGCAGGCAAGAAGACCTGGGCAGCGAGCTCGCGCTCGACCACCACGCCAGGTAAATGACAGTTTTCAGTTAACAATAGTACCAGGACCTAAAACAACCTGTTTTGTTGTGCCATGTATGCATGTGTGCTTGTATGCATGCACAGGGGCAGAACAAGGTCATCACTAGGTCAAACTACATCTATGCATGCACAGGGGCAGAACAAGGTCATCACTAGGTCAAACTATGTCTATGCCTGCACAGGGGCACAACAAGGTCATCACTAGGTCAAACTACATCTATGCATGCACAGGGGCAGAACAAGGTCATCACTAGGTCAAACTACATCTATGCATGCACAGGCGCACAACAAGGTCATCAGTAGGTCAAACTTCATCTATGCATGCACAGGGGCACAACAAGGTCATCACTAAGTCAAACTATGTGTATGCTTGGACAGGGGCACAACAAGGTCATCACGAGGTCAAACTATGTCTATGCATGCACAGGGGCACAACAAGGTCATCACTAAGTCAAACTATGTGTATGCATGCACAGGGGCACAATAAGATCATCACTAAGTCAAACTATGTGTATGCATGCACAGGGGCACAAAAAGGTCATCACTAGGTCAAACTATGTCTATGCATGCACATGGGCACAACAAGGTCATCTCTAGGTCAAACTACATCTATGCATCCACATGGGCACATCAAGGTCATCACTAGGTCCAGGGGCACAACAAAGTCATCTCTAGGTCAAACTACATCTATGCATCCACATGGGCACATCAAGGTCATCACTAGGTCCAGGGGCACAACAAAGTCATCTCTAGGTCAAACTACATCTATGCATCCACATGGGTACATCAAGGTCATCACTTGGTCAAACTATGTCTATGCATGCACAGGGGCACAACAAGGTCATCACTAGGTCAAACTATGTCTATGCATGCACAGGGGCACAACAAGGTCATCACTAGGTCAAACTACATGTATGCATGCACATCAAGGTCATCACTAGGTCAAACTATGTCTATGCATGCACAGGGGCACAACAAGGTCATCACTAGGTCAAACTACATCTATGCATGCACAGGGGCACAACAAGGTCATCACTAGGTCAAACTACGTGTATGCACGCACAGGGGCACAACAAGGTCATCACTATAGGCACAAGGTCACAATTTGTGATGCCTTCACATTCGAAACATAGTAGTGACAAAAATTAGAGCTAGTCTGCTAGCCAAACAAATTTTCAATTTTTAAAGTTCCAGACAATTGAGTACAAAAGTAACGGGCAAGCCTGAGGACCTATGCTAAACAATCAGATACCTTTATGTAATACATTGATGTTGTCAGGAGTTTTCCATTGATTTTCCATTGTCCATCTGTCATCTCAACATGCTCAACAAATCCTCTTAATTATAAGACCAGGGTAAGAATTGGTCTACAGCATCTTCAGCAACCCCTGCTTGCCATAAAAGGCGACTATGCAAGTGGTCAGACTCACTGACTTGGTTGATGCATGTCATATCCCAATTGCATAGAACGATGCTCATGATATCAATCGCTTGATTGTCTGGGCCAGACTTGATTATTTACAGACGGCCGTCATGTGGCTGGAGTAAATCTTTAAAAGTCCAGTTTCCACCCTTGCCGAACTAGGCTGGAATTACTGGGTTCGTTCTCAGCGCCACTAGTGCACGTGGCTATTACGAGTTATGTCTGTTCTAAGCCTCTCCTATGGACCAATCAGATTTCACCTCTCGTATCACTTGCGTTTGCTTCACACAAAATGGTGGCGCCCGGTCAGGACAATCTGATCGAAAATCAAGATCTATATTGTGATAAAGACGGGTTTTACATCGCGAAATGCATCAAATCACGTGAGCACCTTGATTAAAAACATAAAAAGATTTGCAAAATACCTGCTGACGAGTTGGCGGTGCACATGCTTTGCAAATCCTGCAATCGATCGAAATCTGCACGACAGTTAACGAACCGGATTTCGATTTCGGTGCGCAAGTTTGATTGGTTTATGCATAGACTTGTTAGTCCAGCCAAAATGTAACTCCATAATACCAGCCTAGTTCGGCAAGGGTGGAAACTGGACTTTTATAGTTAGTTAACTCTCTTGCCTCGGGAAGATGGCTGGAATATTCCTTAGTGCGGCATTAAACAACAAAGAAAGAAAGACATAGGCATGATAGGTTTCTGAACTGAAGAACATCATGCAGGGAAACGTCCTGAAATACTTGCAACAGTATTTTATACGAGTCATAACTTCAGATTGAGTAATTGGAATATTTTTTTTAAGATACTAACTGCTAGCCTGCTAGTTTTAAATAAAACAAACAATCGTAAATATTTTTCATAAAATGGAAACCTGGAATTTCCACTGTCACGTGATAGAAAGCTATCGTAATGCATTACACCAGCCAATCAGCTGTGAGTATTTCTGTCTGGTACTCACATTCGTGACCACTCGCCCCTTTCCATAACCTGCCAGAAGACTCGTCCCCCTATCGATGAATGTCATGTGCGAAAATACGACAAAACAATCAGAATGCGCGTATGATTTCAAGTTCTTCGTCAAAGAATCCCTCAGAAATATTTTTGATTTTACATGTCTTGCATCTAAAAATATACCCAAAACACAGTTAAATGTGTTCAATCATACTGTATGGATTTGCATGTCCAGATCATCTGAAATATATATAACATAGGAGAAATATATGAGAACCAGTACGCAATGAGTTGACAATTGTTCTAGGTATGCCCGTTTGCGCTAAGACGGAACCTGGACACTAAAAATGGCTATGAGAGGGGCACGAGTCGCTATTCGGCTTTTCCCGGAATAACACGAGTTGGTCACGAATGTGGTACTTGCTGCTGACATGGTATATTTGACAGCAAACAAGCATGATTGGCCAGGGTTGTAAAAAAACAGAGGGGTCTCGATTAGTTATAAATCACGGCTTCCAAATTTATAAAATGACTCCCCAGTCCCCCCAAATGTGTTGAGTCATCATGACTCCCATTTTTAGCAAACCCTGATCATGTCATACAATAGGGAGATTTGCACAACCCTGTAATCATGGTAATACTTGATTTATTTCAGGTGCACAATGTTCCTCCTGTCCTGGAGATGGCAGCTGTGGAATTAGGACCCGAGGGAGGGGAGGATGTTGTTTATATGCGTGAAGAGCCAAATGGGGCAGGGGTGGAGCCAAGTGGGGCAAGTGTGGAGCCAAGTGGGGCGGGGGTGGAGCCAAATGGGGCAGGGCTGGAGCCAGGATTTGAAGGCGGACCACAGGCCAGGGCACCATTTCAAGGTGGAGCTTGGGCACTGCCTCCTGGTGGACATCAGGAAGGGGCCCAGTCTCAAGGAGGAGCTAGGGTGGGCATCCCTGAAGGTCCTCTTCAACCCTTGGCAGTTGGAGGAGAGGATGGCCCAGGTCCACCCTCCGGGATGGGACAGGATGGCGCTGGTCAGGGTGGAGGAGAGGGCGGGGCTGAGGGCGGGGCTGTGGGCGGGGCTGTGGGTGGACAGAGAGGGGATCAGGAACAAGAGCAAAGACCAAGAAGAAATCGCTACTTTGAACCCTTTACAAGACCTGACAACATTATTGACACGAAGGGTAAGTCACAACAGAATATATCGTCCTGTTTGTAACTAAACTTAGTGAGACACATTTGCAATATAAGATTCTGTGAATTGATACAATACTGGGTGGGGTTTTACAGTACTATCTCATCCGAGCACTTATCACATTCACTCTCAATATCCCCAGGGCTCGCATTTCACTAAACCTACACCAACCCCTGGATCCTGGATTCTCGTGATCTCAAATTACCCGCCCCTGATCCCCCTAAGCCAATTGACTTGCTATGCTACTCAGTCTAATGGACCAATCACTATGTGAGTAACAAGCCAGCCTGAATGTTGGATTGAGGATTTCAACAACATGATGACCAATACCATTGATTTTACTTTGCAAGAAATTCACAACTAACTGACGTGAAAGAAAGCCCTAAAAAATCTTTTCGATGTAAGAGGATGTCTTCATGTCCATTAAAACTGCCGGTGGCAAGTCCTCGCTTAACCATTTCCTTTTTCCTTGTCTCAACGTTTGGACCCGTGAAGATTCCGGGGTAGAATAGGTCTTCAGCAACCCATGCTTGCCGTAAAAGGTGACTATGCTTGTCGTAAAAGGCTACTAACGGGATCAGGTGGTCAGACTCGCTGACTTGGTTGATGCATGTTAGCGATCCCAATTGCGTGGATCGATGCTCATGGTATTAATCACTGGATTGTCTGGTCCAGACTCGATTATTTACAGACCGCCTTCATATAGCTGGAATATTGCTGAGTGCGGCATTAAACAACAAACCAACCAACCAACCAACCAATCTCAACGTTTGATTGGCAGGTGTTGGATTCTGAGAGCAACGTGGTAGTGATTTCGCCATTGATTTATAGGCTATTCAAGTTACCTCCCTTACCCATTTCCTTTTCCCCTGTCTCGACACTTGATTGGTCGGTTAAAAGTTAATGAAAATCAACGGCGGATAATTGTAGATTGCAAGAACCACAGGTTTTCTGAATGCAAGCTCAGGAAATATGAGAATGCTGTTACATGATGTAGATAAATACTGTCTAGGAAATGACAAGAAGTCTGGTATCTATACCAGCATTAGAAATTGGCACCAGTCCTAAACTCCTTGCCAAACTGCCCAATTGTTAAGGTATCCTATGGACTAGTCAAAATTTGCCATTTTTCAGGGTTTTCCTGTGTTTTCATTATAAGGACTAGTTCGTTAAACTGTTAGTTTCTATTGCTGTAAGTGAAAGCTCTGTATGCAATGATATACCATATTCGACGTAATAAGCGCCTGCTCTAATAAGCGCCCACGGCGATATTTGCTAATATATTGGCTAGTGAACAACCCCAATTAGCACCCCTTCCAATTGATCAATGTACACAAGACTTATTTATTCGTGTAAAATACGCACTGGTGTGTTATATGCACCTTTGATTATGGGCAATTAAATTCTGGAAAAATATATTTGTCGTATATAAACATATCAGGCTGTCGGCATAAACCACGAAATATATTTTTCAACTTTTATTCACCAAAATAATATTCTAATAAGACCCCCCTGTCTAATTTCGAGAGCCCTGGCGCTTATTACGTCGAATACGGTATATGAAATTTCCATAAATCTTCAGGAAAACTGTGTGAACATGACAAGCGTGTGACCCTGATGACCAACTACTTCAGCTTGAACTTCCCCCGCAACCTGGTCCTGTACCAGTATCACGTCGACTACAACCCCCCCTGCGAGTCCAAGAGGATCAGAACTGCGCTGTTGTATGTTCATGAAGAGCTTATTGGTAGAGTGCATGCTTTCGATGGCGCCATGCTATTCCTACCAATTCGTTTGCCAAATGAGGTAAGGAATACATTCTAGTTTGATGGAAAACATGCCAAATACCCTGTTTGTTAAGGAAATTCAGACAAGTAGCTTTATTTTAGGAAGATTTTGACAGTTTATCAGTCTGGGATAAAGAACAATTTTTAGTTTTTCACATCCCTGGCCAAAGATGGTTTGTCATTATTTTTAATGCTTGTAAGGATGTCACGATTGTTTTTGTTTAGTGTATTATGCCAAGTAATATTTGTCATGCGTTTTTCTTATCTTACATAAAATATATTGGTTAAGGAACTGGCAGGGTACAAATTTCATGTAGCCGCTGAGAAACCAAGTACTCAGCTTATCCAGTACTCAAACGTGTTCATCTTAATTATGTCCATTTATGTCCCTGGGTCGTGGTTCACAAGGCAAACATTGCGCTATGACTGTCCTAAGTCTGTGGGGAACAAGGGTGGCCCAGTCGTCTAAGGCGCCGCGATTCGCTGTGCAGAGTTGCGTCCCTTGGGCACGCCACAAACCTATGATTGTGGGTTCGAATCCCGGTTCGCCCCGATTATGTTTCTAGGTTTGTCAGCACCATACCTTGCTCGTGGGTTTCACCGAAGTGGTAAACGTCCTTGACCTGCATCACTTCGGGCTTTCCTCCCACATTAAGCTGACACGCTGTGATATAACTGGAATAATGTTAAAAGCGGCGCTAAACCCAACTCACTTACTCACTCACTCACTAATTATGTCCATTTATGTCCCTGGGTCGTGGTTCACAAAGCAAACATTGCGCTTTGACTGTCCTAAGTCTGTTTTAAAGTGTAGGAGATAGTCAGAGCACTAGGACTGCTTTGTGAAAGAGGCCATGTAAGGTTTCTACTTTTCTAAGTGATTTATCTAAAATGCTTTATCTGCCCAGAGTCTGATATTCAGCCCCATGGCTGCAGCAACTGACAGTAAAAATTCCCAATTTGAAAATAAAAATCCCAATTTTTCAGAATTTTACCAAAGTAATAACCTTTAAAACAATTCAATTTGAAACATTATCAAGATTTCGTCCCACTTTGCAGGTCAAAGGCTCTTAGTTTGGAAACCTACATAAATCCCTGTTTGCAGGATAACATTCACATTCCTTTATATGTTCAAGACTTTGGTTGGGCGGTTGGGTAGCCTAGTGGTTAAGGCATTTGTCCGTCACGCCGAAGACTCAGGTTCAATTCCCGACATGGGTACAATGTGTGAAGCCCATTTCTGGTGTCCCCCGCCGTGATATTGCTGGAATATTGCTACAAGCGGTGTAAAACCTCACTCACTCACACTCCGACTTTGGTCTCATGGATAGTGTGTCTACCCAGAGGGCATGAGTTCACTGGTTCAATCCCCTGGCCGCGTCATAACAAAAGAGGTTAACAGCAGTAGAAACTAACATTTTTGGTCCACTAGTCCTTATAATGATAATATATAGCAAAACCCTTAAAAATGGCAAATATCTACTTGTCCTCATGATACCTTAACTATTGGGCAGTTTGGCAAGGACTATGGGACTAGTGCCAATTTCTAACCCTGGGTTAAGAGATGATACTTGTTGTTACCCTGCCTGGCACTCAGCATTAAGGAGCTAAAACAAGGACAGGTCGGCTGGGAGTGAGTATCCTGTCTGGCTGGGGTAGGGGGCACGGGTGGCCCAGTCGTCTTAGGCGCCGCGATTCGCTGTGCAGAGTTGCGTCCCTTGAACATGCCAGAAACCTCTGATTGTGGGTTCGAATCCCGGTTCGCCCCGATTATGTTTCTAGGTTTGTCAGCACCATACCCGTGCTCATGAAGTGGTAAACGTCTGAGACCTGCATCACTTGGGGCTTTCCTCCCACATTAAGTTGACACGCCGCGATATAACTGTAATACTGTTAAAAGCGGCGTTAAACCCAACTCACTCACTCACTCACTGTATGGGTTATGATATCCATGTTAGTCTGTACCATGGTATCTCAGGGGGCTAGAAATAGAAAACTGGCATTATTTTGGACGAACGCATGCTCGCACAAGCTCACACAAGCATACGTGCCTGCAGATCAATATAAACTTTTTTTTATAACCTAGTAAATAACTTTCTGGTTGGTGTAGGTGACGGAGGTATATTCAACGCGACAGTATGACTCGGCTCGGATCAGGGTCACCATCACGTTGAGGACAGAGCTGCCCCCCGATGTTCCACAGGCCATTCAAGTGTTCAATATTATCTTCAGAAGGTAAGGCACAGCTAACTTATCCTTCCAATACATTTATAAATCAATTGCCTCTGGTATTGTAGGTATCTTGCTATCTCATTGTCACCTTGTGAGAGGGACTACTTTCAAGTGAGACCTGCTTAGAGGCTTTTACAGAGGAATTGTTAGACTTAGATTTTACAGTTGAGTTATATCAATAGCTTTTAATATGCATCTAATGTTGATTTTTGACTCCAATTCAGAGCTCCAGACAACTTTTTGAGCAATTGAGTTTTTACTCTAGGGATTCTATTTTAATTGGGTATTTTACTCATACAGTCGTGCCTCGTTTATACGGACACTTGCAACATTTAACAATTCGTCCGTATAAACGAATTTCCGTATAACTGAAACCAGCTTCTTACTGGAAGAGTTACTTCCCTTCAATTATGCAACTCATGACAGATGACAGAGCAAACAGATACATCCACTCAATCTTTATTCATACACGTTTCAAAAAGTCTGTCATGGAAGTTTGAACTGTCACCAATTGTCGATTTTCCCATGGTATGTCCAAATTCAGTGCCATAATGCTTACTGATGGTGTCTAAACTTGCTGACGGGTGTTTTTCTTCAAACAGACAAATTTCCCTTTTTTCGCATGCTGTAACTGCGTGTCGCTTACGTTTCGCTGGTTGACAGGCCATTCTCACACAACTTTGACCTCTGACCTCCACAGACGCCATATTTATCGAAGGGGATTACATGTACAATAAACAAGCTCGTCTCAAACGTAACTCAGTGTGACTTGGTTAATTGACTTCTCACGAATCAAAGGATTACCACCAGCGGAAGGATGACCACCAGCGGAAGTGTATTGTCCGGATAAGTGAGACAATTTTGTGTGCATTTCAGTGTTTTGTGTATGAAAATGACCGTCCGGTTCCGGATATCTGAAGTCCGTATAAGCGGGACATGACTGTATACACAGCTTATCTGTAGCTCTTGCAATTTCTATGACTTGAATCGAACCTGCAACCTCACATATCATGTTTAGTATTGTTACCCACTGTGTTCCCACAGAGCCACCAGGGCAGGGATGAAGGGTGTTCAATCTTACATGTCATGACTTCAGTTGTCTGCATGCTGCATGTGGTTTTTCTTTCGCCTGCCGTCATCGTTTTGATTTATACCGCAACAACTGTATTGTTTCACTGTAAGGTATCCCAATGTTTTTTTACTCTTTTTGCTTTTAGACGGTTCATAACTTAGTTCAAACTCTCCTCTGGGCCATTTTGTAAACATAATTGATTTATCTTTTGTATCCCAGGGATTTATCTGGAACTGATCAATATTTGGCCCCTTGTCTGCATAAAATTTTTAAAAAATTCCCAAATCGAACTACAAATAGGTCTTCAGCAACCCATCCTTGCCGTAAAAAGCGATTGTGCTTGTCGTAAGAGGCGACTAACGGGATCAGGTGGTCAGGCTCGCTGACTTCGTTGATGCATGTCATCGTATCCCCATTGCATGGATCGATGCTTATGATATCAACATGATCAATGACTCGATTGTCTGGTCCAGACTTGATTATTTACAGACCGCTGTCATATAGCTGGAATAATGCTGAGTGCGGCGTTAAACAACAAACAAACTATAAATTTACCACTTTATGTTCATATACTGAACTAAAAATGTTAGGGAACATGAATATTTTTTTAATACCGTATATCGCTGTGTATAAGGCGAGTTTTTCGTACCTAAAATGAGGGGGCTAAGAAGGGGGCTCGTGTTATACACGGAGTCGAAGATCTCACATTTTTTTCCACTCGCGATGTCAACCGGCATCCGATAGCCAGCCCAGCATTTGACAATAAAACTTCGCATTTTGTCCTAAATAACTGTTCAAATAACTATTTCCATACATAAACATGATTTGTATCTCTTTTCCTTGAATAAAGTTTAATAATTTCTGCAAATAAAGTTGAAATGACCCTCTCCTCGATGCAGATTGTCAAACCAGCTGACACGGTAAAACAATCAACATCCGTGAGTAGAGAGCCGGAAGTACCAGTAATCATTTGCATATTGCACATGTGACCTAACATGTGATAACCGGTGAAGCTGAAATCAATTCCCGCTGTTTTTACAGTTGTATTAACAAGTGTTGGAGACGGTGTGTACAAGTGATTGTGGAATAAACACGCTGAATGTGAAGCGAACATAAGCCTAGTTAGTTACAACATAGTTAATTGGCGATTAAATTACTCACCATTGTCTCTTATATGTTATTACTTCAGAAATGAATTTTATTTTACGGGCACCAATTTGGTGTCGTACCGTGTAAACACAAAATGGCGACGTGTGCTGGAGTTACACACGCGACCTATCATTGTAGAAAAAAAACAACGCAAGATAAACATATTTTTATTGCATATATAAGGTTTGTGTGCGCACTTGTGATGTGTGCGAAATACGCATCAGTCGGAAAGCGCACATTAAATCTCCCAAGTAACTAACTTACTAATTTGTGATGTCCGTGTGCGAAATACGCTACAGTCGGCAAGAGCACGTTAAATCTTCTACCGGTACATCAGTCAGACTTGTGATGTGTTTCATTCCAGGTCGCCTTATACACGGAGTATAGGATTTTGGGTTGATTTTTAAGGCGTGTACAGGGGGGTCGTCTTATACGTGGGGTCGCCTTATACACAGCGATATATTTTTGTAGTGAAGACTGAGCACACAATTTCATAAAAATATCCAAAAAATATTTATGATCCCTTTTCGTGTTCAGCACAGTTACAACAAATGTTATTGCTAAGATGTTATTCACTGACAACAGGACCAATATAGAGGAAGACTGACTGATATAGGAGATTTAACGTGCGCTTTCCGACTGTAGCGTATTTCGCGCACGGATAGAGGAAGAGGATTAAACACTTTTATATACCTGATATTGTACATCAATTGGGAAATGTTTAATTCTAATGTAAGCCTTCTTACTGCCATTAGCTGCAGAATTTCAGCATATGACAACCGCTAATCAGGTCCAGCTAAATCCCTGTTGGAATATCAGGGCCAGTCATCTGTTGGATTTCTTTGTTAGCTTCTACCCTTCTACCTGTTATCTTATTAATTTTGTTGTCCTTAGATGTCCTTAGATGTACATATATATATGATCTCTGCCTCATGGCATTCATTCACCTGATGAAGGAGTAAGTGTATACTCTGAAAGGTGTTCCTCATAATAAAGAAGTTGACATCCATATATTCTCTTCCTTATGTGTATCACTTCTAAATGCCTTGCAAAGACCTAATAATATTACCGTATTCGACGTAATAAGCGCCCAGGGCGCTCTCAAAATAAGAAATAGGGGGCTCTTATTGGAATATAATTTTGGTAAGAAAAAAACAGAGTTGAAAGATCGTATATTTTTAGATTTATGTACCTGAAATGATACAAAAGAAAAGTCTGTGCTTATTATACACGACAAATATATTTTTCCAGAATTTAATTGCCCATAATTAAGGGTGCATGTAACACACGAGTGCCTATTATACGCGAATAAATAAGTCTTGTGTACATTGATCAATCGGAAGAGGTGCTCATTGGGATTGATCACTAGCCAATATATTGGCAAATATCACCGTGGACGCTTATTAGAACGGGGCGCTTATTACATCGAATACGGTAATAATTTTATTCTCATGTCTGAACAATGAGCTACACATCTGTTCTCTCTGTTGCAGGTTGTTGGCACAGCTAGGCATGAAACAGGTTCAGAGACACTACTATGACTTTGATAGCAGAATCAACATCCCTAGGCATAGGTGAGTCCTGTGCATGCTTAGTGAATGAGTGTGTGAGTATGGTTTTACGCCGCTTTTAGCAATATTTCAGCAATATCACGGCGGGGGGCACCAGAAATGGGCTTCACAGATTGTACCCTTGTCTGGAATCGAACCCGGTCTTCGGCGTGATGAGTCAACGCTTTAACCACTAATTCGTCTTTTCATATTAATATTATCATGATTATATACAATAATAATGTTAATGATGTTTATCTCATAATTTACTTCCTGCTTTCAGCCTGCAGGTAATCCCTGGTGTGGCAGCGTCGATCCTGCCGTACGAGGACCAGGTGCTGCTGAACGTGGATGTGGCACACAAGATGATACGGATGGACACATGTCTGGATGTCATGTCCCTGGAATACGCGAGGCGAGAGAACATGGATGATGTCCGTCGGAGAGTAATAGGCTGCATCATCCTCACCAGGTAGACTGCATCCTTTATATCTATAGCTGCATCCTTTATATCTATAGGATGCATCCTTTATATCTATAGGCTGCATCCTTTATATCTATAGATTGCATCCTGTATATCTATAGGCTGCATCCTTTATATCTATAGGCTGCATCCTTTATATCTATAGATTGCATCCTTTATATCTATAGACTGCATCATTTATATCTATAGGCAGCATCATTTATGTCTTAAGACTGCATCCTTTATATCTATAGGCTGCATGGTCCTCACCAGGTCGACTGCATCCTTTATGTCTATAGACTGCATCCTTTAATTCTAAAGACTGCATCCTTTATATCTATGGACTGCATCCTTTATATCTATAGGCTGCATTGTCCTCACCAGGTAGACTGCATCCTTTATATCTATAGAGAGCATTGTCCTCACCAGGTAGACTGCATCCTTTATGTCTAAAGACTGCATCCTTTATATCTATAGGCTGCATTGTCCTCACCAGGTAGACTGCATCCTTTATGTCTAAAGACTGCATCCTTTATATCTATAGGCTGCATTGTCCTCACCAGGTAGACTGCATCCTTTACATTCCAAGGCTAGATCCATTCCCATGATTCTTTTGATCACAAATTACCCATCCTGGATTTTTATGAGCCAATTGACCTGCTAACCTACCCAGCCTAACGTACCAAACAATGTGGGAGTTACAAGCCAGCTTCAGTGTTGAGATGGCATTCTGAATAACAGACGCTCTATCCACTGGACCACAGCCGCAGCCCCAGTGATTAAGGTAATACATATGGTCTGATCCTATGAACACAGCTCTACTTCTTACCTTCTTCAACAGGTACAACAACCGAACCTACCGAGTGGATGACATAGACTTCGACCTCACCCCGAAAGACAGCTTCAAGCTCTCCAATGGTACCGACATCACCTATCAGGAGTACTTCCAGCAGGTATGCTGTTACCATGGCACCCAAGCCATCCTTTTAGAACTAGAAAGTAGACTTATACAATAAGATGAAGCACTGTGTTTTTCAATTTGTTGGTGTTATTGTGTATCTGATGCCTGGAAATGTTTCCATGGCAACTGAACCTGCCTGGGTAGCAGACTCTAACTAGTTCAATCTTAAGTTAAAATTAATGTGGTTTCAATATTCCTATCAATGAATAGTTCAATTCAAATTCTTTATCCATATATTTCAAATTTGGGATTGATAAAAAATGGAGTGCTTATCAAGAAAAGTATTTATGCTCAGCTAAGAGTAAAGCGACCCGTGAAGATTCCGGGGTAGGATAGGTCTTCAGCAACCCATGCTTGCCGTAAAAGGTGACTATGCTTGTCGTAAAAGGTGACTATGCTTGTCGTAAAAGGTGACTATGCTTGTCGTAAAAGGCGCCTAACGGGATCGGGTGGTTCCAACCAGAAATGAGACGAGATAAGATATAAGTATGAGTCAGGATAAGTATAAATGGCATTTTAACCATAAAAAATACATTTAAGGCTTAAAAAATAAAAGAATTAGTTCTCAGGCAATGTTTTTTGAAAATATTTTGCGTGTGGACGGTTCTAGTTGTTCAAACTAGTATGTAACCAATAAACAGTTCTGTAATTAATAAACAGTTGTGTACAATCAACCTGGGAAAGGGCCTCCCTACAATGTATTCCTTGATGAGTAAAATACTGGAATACAGTATTTGACACTTGTTGGACTTGGAATATATCAGGATTTTTAATATATTTTTTTTAAATGGAGAGAAAAATGAAGTGTGTGTCGAACTTTACAATGATGCGGGTGGTGCCTGAGAACCAAGACTTTTTTTTTTCAAATTGTTTTATTCATTGCAAAATTGTTAGTTAGAAGAAACACCCATACCTTGTAAATACATTGAACTATGGGCCTATGGCCTTTCAGTTTGCAGTGAATAAAACAATTTGAGACAAAAAAAATTTAGCCTAATAAAACATGACATTTAGTTCCTATTCCTAGTTAAAATCGAGAAAATCTGAAAAAAATCAGTGTGACCTATGAAGATGGCTATTTCACTCTTGATTATTCTGTTGTTGATCCAGCACTACCAAGTAAACATAAGAGATCCCGACCAACCACTCCTGGTCTCCAGGCCAACAGTCCGGGACCGGAACCGTGGCCAGACTGCACCCATCTACCTGGTGCCAGAGCTCTGCATCATCACAGGTATGGGACTGACCATTGACATTCCTGGGGGTAGGGGTGGGGCGGGGCGATGCATTTTGCAATGTAAGACCCGTTTTATCACAATACAGAACTTGATTATTGATCAGATCATCCTGACTGGGCACCACCATTTGTTTTGAAGCAAACGCAAGTGATCAAGAGGTGGAATCTGATTGGTCCATAGGAGAGGCTTAGAAGGGACATAACTGGTAATAGCCACTGGTGGCACTACGATCGAGCCCAGTAATTCCAGCCTTGGTAGTTCGGTAACTGGACTTTTAAAGTCAGTTAACTCTCTTGCCAGGGGAAGATGGTTATTTTGGTACCATGTGTATAAGGGCAGTGGTATAAAGGAGCATGTGGTTTGTTCCAGGGCTCCCCGATGAGATGCGTGCCGACTTCCAAGTGATGAAAGATGTGGCAGTTCACACCAGGATTCCCCCGGATGACCGGGTTGCCAGACTGCTGAGTTTCAGGAACAGGCTTGAGAGGTGAGTTCTGTGACGCCTTGACACTGGAGCTTCCAGTGAAGATCCGGGGTAGAATAGGTCTACAATGCTTGTCGTAAAAGGCGACTAACAGGTTCGGGTGGTCAGGCTCGTTGGCTTGGTTGATGCATGTCATCCTGTCCCAATTGCATAGATCGATGCTCGTGATGTCAATCACTGGATTGTCTGGTCCGGACTCGATTATTTAGAGACCGCCGTCATATACCTGGGATATTGCTGAGTGCGAGTGTCATGAGTATCTGGTATCGATTTGCGCAATTGGGATACGATGACATGCATTAGTCTGTCAGCGAGTCCAACCATCTGATCCCATTTGTCGCTTCTTACGACAAACATAGTCATCTATTACGACAAGAGGTGTGGTCAGGTAGCCTAGTGGTTAAAGCGTTCGCTCGTCATGCTGAAGGCAGGGGTTTGATTCCTGACATTGGTCGTTGTATGAAGCTCATTTCCGGTGTCCCCCACGGGGATAAAAATATACTCGCTCCCTCCCTCCCTCCCTCCCCCACTCACTCACTCACTCACTCACTCACTCACTCACTCACTCACTTGCATCATGAACTGCATTCAACTTCAGCTATTGTAGATGATGTTGCAAAACCTTGTTCAGTTTTTTTACATTGTTTCTTCATTAAACAATGAGAACAATCAATTTAATTTTGTTTTATATCTTTCCACTACTGATCACAGGCACTGTCAATTCTTCTGTCCTGTCGTCCCTACAGAATTTGTCTGTTTTGTTTGTTTTTTAACTCTCCACTCAGCAATATGACAGCTATAAGAAAGTAAATAACCAAGCCTGGACCTGACAAACCAGTGATTAATATTATCATGCGATTATGTTTACAAATCAATGTCTTCTGCTTTTCAGAAATGAACAAGCTCGACAAGAAGTTGAAAACTGGGACTTTCACTTCTCGGAAACACTGGTGGAAGTGGCTGGGCGTCTCCTTCGACCTGAACCCATCATCCATGGTGGAAACACCAAGGTGAGTGGATATTTGTTTGGAAGAAAATTGTTTTTACAGAATATGTAGTTCCTTGCATCTAGTTTGCATGACCTGACTGTCTGAGGTCATCGTACCCCACTGATGTGGTTTGTAGTGTTGGCAGGGTTTCGCCTTACCTTTCAACACTGGGGGTCCATGGGACATCTGATGACTCTTGTTTACTGTATCGATACAAGACGATACACTTGCTGTAATAAATTATTATACCCCCAACATTTTCTTATATAGTTATACCAAGGTTCCGTCCGTCCATCTGTCTGAAAACTTTGTCCGTGCGATTTTTCTTAAACTATTCAGTGGATTCATCTCAAACTTAGTACATATGATCTGTGTCATATGGAGGGGTGCAGTCAAAAGTAAAAAATTGTTTTTATAAATTTCAATTTTTTTATGAATTTTTCAAACCCTAACGTCTGTCTGAAAACTTTGTCCGCGTCATTTCTCTTAAACTATTCAGTGGATTCATCTCAAACCTAGTACATATAATCTGTGTCATATGAAGGGGTGCAGTCAAAAGAAAAAAAATGTTTTTTTTAATTTTTCATTGTTTTATGAATTTTTCAAACCCTAACGTCCGTCTGAAAACTTTGTCTGTGTGATTTCTCTTAAACTATTCTGTGGATTCATCTCAAACTTAGTACATATAATCTGTATTATATGGAGGGGTGTAGTCAAAAGAAAAACATTGTTTTTATTAATTTTCCATTTTTTTATGAATTTTTCAAACCCTAACGTCCGTCTGAAAACTTTGTCCGCGTGAATTCTCTTAAACTATTCAGTGGATTCATTTCAAACTTAGTACATATAATCTATGTTATATGGAGGGGTGCAGTCAAAAGAAAAAATTGTTTTTATTAATTTTCCATTTTTTAATGATTTTTTCAAACCCTAACCCTATCCTAGCTATTCAATTTGAAACTACTGACACACTAGGCGGGTCGGGGGTATTAGTGAGCCACGCTCACTTTTGCACTTGTTTACTACTCTTTCCCCACTCCCCCCCCCACACCACCCATTTTACAAGCAAATTTACTTTCCGATTCAAGCCAATATTTATATACATCTAAAACATTATTTCATATTTTCTTAAACGTCAAATGTTCACTCATTTTGGGAAAAAACCAATAGAATGATGAATAGGTGAGTGTGAACAAATATTGGTGAAAAGCCCTTCATCCATTACCCAGGGTACAATACAGCTTGAGTATTTTTTAATTCAGATTAAAACCTTGCCATGCTATGTGCTTGTAACATGTATATGTTGGTTCAGTTCATGTTTTTGACATCCATGCAATGCCTTGCAGTTCTTTTACAACCCTCAAAATGCGGAGTGGTCCAGTAGCGTGCGGGGCAAGAAACTCCTGGTGACTGTTGCTCTTAGCAACTGGATCGTCCTCTCTCCCAGCAGATACAAACATTTGGCCATCGACTTTGTGCAGACTCTCAAAATGGTGGGGCCACCGATGGACATGAGGTTCTCACCGCCGGAATAGTAAGCGGAACCTGCCTCAACACAGTACAGGGCTTAGAATTAGTCTTGAACAACCCATGCATTCGTAACATATCTATCAACGCTCACGCATCTCGCGTGAGTCTCACACATTTATCACCTATGTCACACTCGCACAAGGTTGGAATTCTCACGTATTCATATAAAATGTAGATAAAAATATAATTTTTCAGAATACATGCTCTCTAAGGCCATTAAAATGGTCTTAAAATCATTCATTTGTGGGTGTGGCTATCCCCAGCCCCACCACCCACCCCCCCGCCAGCGGGGCTTGGAGGCCCTGCACCTTGGCTTCTCACGCATTTAGACATCCAGGGGTTGACAGCTATGTCATAACAGGCGACTAACGGGATCGGGTGGTTAGACTAGCTGACTTGGTTGATGCATGTCATCATACATCTCGATTGTGAAGATCAGTGCTCATCATGTCAAGCACTGGATTGTCTGGTCCAGATTTGATTATTTACAGACGGCCGTCATATCGCTGGAATATTGCTGAGTGCCTGCGATAAACAAACAAATTATGGGTGTCATGACTTGTAATGTTATGTATTGTTATTTGTTTTGTGGGTCACGTGATACATGTTGCGATACTTAATTTGCACTGAAATCAGTTAATACATGCATAAATTTGACAATGATTGCCAACATCCTAAGGGATAATGTAAATCCGGCTAGGGTCGATGCAGGTAGCAATGGTACTGTAAGTCCCCATGGACCCAATAGCATTGTTAGGGGTGGTCAGGTAGCCTAGTGGTTGAAGCTTTTGCTCGTCACGCCAATGACCCCGGTTCAATTCCCGACAAGGGTACAATGTGTGAAGCCAATTTCTGGTGTCCCCCGCCTTGATATTGCCAGAATATTGCTAAAAGCAGTGTAAAACCATACTCACTCACTCACTATGGTGATCTACCTTTAGCTGCTGGCGATCTGTAGCCCTTTTTTATTAAGTATTGTTACATATAGTGATATCTTTTTATGGTTGTACACTAGTTTTAAATATTAATCTGTGATATTCTAGTTATTTTAATGTCCATCGATGACAGGTTTTTATTTAATCTAAATATATGTATTCTTAATGTATAACTTCTCATCACGATATGGCTGAAATATTGCCGATGTGACGTTAAATATTAACTCACTCATCCATGTTGCCTTGTCGAATGCCTTGCATAACACACATGCTTACTCCCAATGTGGTGTGTGTTTTGTTCAGTATTTTCATTGATGATGACCGGAATGAAACGTATGTGAGGGCTCTGAGGAACTGTGTGACCCCTGACATCCAGCTGGTGGTGTGCATCGCCAGCAACAACAGGAAGGACCGATACGATGCCATCAAGAAGTTCTGTACATGCGAGAGGCCAGGTCAGTTGGATAGCATTGCAGAATTCTTGGAAACCATAGAGGGGGAAGTTAAAAATTTATTTAAAAAAATGATAATAAAATAGTGAAGAAATATATGATTATAAAACTGTTTAAAGACATTCTTTACAGGAGCCACCGAACCAACGTTGGTGGGAGAGTTTTTCCCATTTGTCCGGGGCCCTGTTCCACAAAGATATCTTAAGTCTACGACGATCATAAACCTGTCATAGTATGGGAGTTACAATCATCTTAGCGCTAAGATCGCTTTGTGGATTGTACAAAGGGATTGTAGCGTTAAGACGATAATAACTCCCATACTGTAATACTATACCCAACATCCCCATATTTTTGACTGACATGAATGTTCCACATTGAATCAAACAATGACATATGAAATATTATTACCGTATTCGACGTAATAAGCGCCCCGCTCTAATAAGCGTCCACGTCGAGATTTGCTAATATATTGGCTTGTGAACAATCCCAATTAGCACCCCTTCCGACCCCTATTCGCATATAATACGCACCGCTTCCTTCCCCTATTCGCATATAATACGCACCGCTTCCTTCCCCTATTCGCGTATAATACGCACCGCTTCCTTCCCCTATTCGCGTATAATACACACTGCTTCCGACCCCTATTCGCGTATAATACGCACCGCTTCCTTCCCCTATTCGCGTATAATACGCACCGCTTCCTTCCCCTATTCGCGTATAATACGCACCGCTTCCTTCCCCTATTCGCGTATAATACGCACCGCTTCCTTCCCCTATTCGCGTATAATACGCACCGCTTCCTTCCCCTATTCGCGTATAATACACACTGCTTCCGACCCCTATTCGCCTATAATACGCACCGCTTCCTTCCCCTTTTCGCATATAATACGCACCGCTTCCTTCCCCTATTCGCGTATAATCGAACCCGTGTGTTATATGCACCCTTTATTATTGGCAATTTAATTCTGGAAAAATATATCTGTCATACATAAGCATTTCAGGCTGCTAGCATAAACCACAAAATTTATCTTTCACTCTGATTTTTTCACCAAAGTAATATTCTAATAAGAGCCCCCTATTTCTAATTTTGACACACCCTGCGCGTTTATTATGTTGAATAAGGTACTGTCTTTTTTTTAAATCAAATGGCCCAGCTATGTGGATAGCGTCACCCTGGGGAGTGGAAGTTTGGTGGTTTCATCCCCCGGCCGCATCATACGATAAAACGATAAAAGATGATACTTGATATTACCCTGCCTGGCGCTTGGCATAAAGGGGCTAAAACAAGGACTGGAAGGCTCGGAGTCAGTATTCTGTGTCTGAGGGGGGTATTCATGTTAACTGCTGCATGGTATCTCATTGGGCTAGCACTATCAAATTGGCATTAGTCCGGACTAGTGGAAGCGCGCGCACGCACGCCCCATTTCACCTCACTTCACACTGACTGGTGCTGGGTACTATGGGGATAAAACAAGAACTAGTAGGCTCAGAGTCATAATGAATAGGTAAACTGTATGTGACATCAAGATGGGTCACTTATGAGAAGTAGATTTGATGGAATACATGAATTGGAATATGCCTATATCATATGTTACTTGCAGGAAAACCCCGTGAAGATCCGGGGTAGAATAGGTCTTCAGCACCCCATGTTTGCCGTAAATGGCAACTATGCTTGTAGTAAAAGGCAACTAACGGGATCGGGTGGTCAGACTCGCTGACTTGGTTGATGCATGTCATCGATCCCAACTGCGTGGATCGATGCTCATGATGTCAATCACTGGATTGTCTGGTCCAGACTTGATTATTTACAGACCGCCGTCATATAGCGGGAATATTCCTGAGTGCGGCGATGAACAACAAACCAACCAACTTGCAGGAAATGTTCTTAAGTAAAGTGCCATGTGTCTGGGAGCTGAGTGGAGATATCAGCCATGTCAGTTGTGGTCTTTCCTCTTGCAGTTCCAAGTCAAGTCGTGTTACAGAGGACGCTGTGTAAGAGGCAGATGATGATGTCGGTGGCTACGAAGATAGCAATACAGCTCAACTGTAAACTGGGAGGAGAAGCGTGGGCGGTGGAGATTCCTGTAAGTGCAGACACTAGTGTTACAACCCGTGAAGATCCGGGTTAGAATTGGTCTTCAGCAGCCCATGCTTGTAAGAGGCGACTAATGGGATTAGGAGTTCAGGCTCGCTGACATGTTTGATGAATGTCATCATGTCCAACTGTGTAGATTGATGCTCATGATGTTAATCACTGGATTGTCTGATCCAGACTTGATTATTTACAGTCCACCGGACCGCCTCCGTGGTTTAGTGGTAGAGTGTCCACTCGGAGAGCGGAAGGTCAGGGGTTCGATCCCTGGCCATGTCATACCAAAAGACGTTAAAAGATGGTGCTTGTTGTTACCCTGTCTGGCTCTCGGCATTAAAGGGCTAAAACAAGGACTGGTCGGCTCGGCGTCAGTATACTGTGTCTGAGTGGGGTATTCATGTTAAACTGCGGCATGGTATCTCAGTGTGCTAGCACTATAAATTGCATCAGTCCAGACTAGTACAAGCAGCCACACACATACATACACGTGCATGCACGTCGCTATATAAGTGCAATAATCTTGGACGCGACGTTAAACCCAATTTCACCTCACCTACAGACTGGAATATTGCGGAGTGTGGTGTACAGTAAACAATAAACAAACAAACAAACATGAGAAGTGGAGATAGCTGTGAGAACTGCATGCTGTCAGGGGGGCCTGGGATTATGTTGAGTGAGTGAGTGAGTTGAGCAATATTCTAGCTATATGACAGTGGTGGACACCAGGGCTTTTCACATTGTGCCCGAGTGGGGAATCGAACCCGGGTCTTTGGCGTGACAAGCAAACTGTTTAACCACTAGGCTATGCCACTGCCTCTAATTATGATACTGAGTGAGTGAGTGGGGTTTTACTCTGCTCTAAGCAATATTCCAGCAATATCAGGACGAGGGACACCTATATGGGGAATCAAACTTTGGTCAAGTGGTACAAGTGAACACTTTAACCACAAGGCTACCCCTCTGCTCATAAGATGATAAACTATCGAAGGCGTATAGAGTGTCCAACAGTACAGGTTTACTCCCTAGAAGAGGAGACGTTGGCAGCAGGCAACAGAATTTTCTGAGGGATTGTTATCTATTATTGTACTAAATGGTAGGGCAGGGACGGGTAATTTGGGTACTCGGGTCGGATGGGTACTGAGTAGGACCTGGCTACCCACAGGACTACCCGGACCCAATGTGAGTTACATGATATATTGTTAATGACATGTATATTATCTTGAACTCCATTGTAAAACTTCAAGTCATTAGTGTTCACTTTCTTTCCGTCAATGAATGCATACCTTCAGACTTTAATATGTTTGAGTAAAGATAAGGCTTCAGTCAACTTAAGTGTATGCATGACCAGATCTGTCTGTACGTGTATCTAGATACATTTTGCCAGGGCTACGGTCAAACTATTCATAATCAGACATTTTGTACCCATCTCTTGAGAACCACGTCAGGTACCCGAGTAGGATAGGCTAATAGGGATTGGGTATTGAGGGGGTTGGGATTCTTGCTTTTTCAGTTATTATTACAGTATCTGTACTTAAATAATCAGGACATACCTTGGGAAATATTCTGAAAGTCATTTCACGAAATCTGTGTGACACCCACTCTGATTTGATATTTTCTACTTACTTATGACTTAACTGGTTGAGGGGCGCAGCAATTAAGTGTGCAATCAATCAATCAATCAATCAATCATTCAATCATTCAATCAATCAATCAACCAATCAAACTCACTCACTCACTCACTCACTCACTCACTCACTCACTCACTCACTCACTCACTCACTCACTCACTCACTCACACAAATGGTTGTAGACCTTGTCACAGAAAGCTTGTATAACAACAACACCCTCATTTCTTCAGTTCACTACACCTTTCATGGTGATTGGTATCGACACATACCACGACTCGTCTGTGAGGAACCGGTCCGTGGGGGGCGTGGTGTGCAGCATCAACAACACCTGCACCCGCTACTACAGCAGAGTCTGTTTCCAGGACAGTCACGTCGAGCTGGTCAACGGGCTGACCACGATCTGTACAGGTAACACATTGTCCAATATGAGTGTATGGACAGGTAACACCCTGGCAGTGTCTGGTAGATATGAGTGTATGGACAGGTAACACCCTGGCAGTGTCTGGTAGATATGAGTGTATGGACAGGTAACACCCTGGCAGTGTCTGGTAGATATGAGTGTATGGACAGGTAACACCCTGGCAGTGTCTGGTAGATATGATTGAATGTATGGACAGATAACAACCTTGCAGTGTCTGGTAGATATGATTGAGTGTATGGACATGTAACACCCTGGCAGTGTCTGGTAGATATGATTGAGTGTATGGACATGTAACTCCCTGGCAGTGTCTGGTAGATATGATTGAGTGTATGGACATGTAACTCCCTGGCAGTGTCTGGTAGATATGATTGAGTGTATGGACATGTAACTCCCTGGCAGTGTCTGGTAGATATGATTGAGTGTATGGACATGTAACTCCCTGGCAGTGTCTGGTAGATATGATTGAATGTATGGACAGGTAACATCCTGGCAGTGTCTGGTAGATATGATTGAGTGTATGGACAGGTAACATCCTGGCAGTGTCTGGTAGATATGATTGAATGTATGGACAGGTAACATCCTGGCATTACCTGGTAGATATGATTGAGTGTATGGACAGATAACAACCTTGCAGTGTCTGGTAGATATGAGTGTATGGACAAGTAACACCCTGGCAGTGTCTGGTAGATATGATTGAGTGTATGGACAAGTAACACCCTGGCAGTGTCTGGTAGATATGAATGTATGGACAGGTAACACCCTGGCAGTGTCTGGTAGATATGATTGAGTGTATGGACAAGTAACACCCTGGCAGTGTCTGGTAGATATGAGTGTATGGACAAGTAACACCCTGGCAGTGTCTGGTAGATATGAATGTATGGACAGGTAACAGCCTGACATTGTCTGGTAGATATGATTGAGTGTATGGACATGTAACTCCCTGGCAGTGTCTGGTAGATATGATTGAATGTATGGACAGGTAACATCCTGGCAGTGTCTGGTAGATATGATTGAGTGTATGGACAGATAACAACCTTGCAGTGTCAGGTAGATATGATTGAGTGTATGGACAAGTAACACCCTGGCAGTGTCTGGTAGATATGAGTGTATGGACAAGTAACACCCTGGCAGTGTCTGGTAGATATGAATGTATGGACAGGTAACAGCCTGACATTGTCTGGTAGATATGATTGAGTGTATGGACAGGTAACATCCTGGCAGTGTCTGGTAGATATGAGTGTATGGACAAGTAACACCCTGGCAGTGTCTGGTAGATATGAATGTATGGACAGGTAACAGCCTGACATTGTCTGGTAGATATGATTGAGTGTATGGACAGGTAACATCCTGACAGTGTCTGGTAGATATGATTGAATGTATGGACAGGTAACTCCCTTGCAGTGTCTGGTAGATATGAATGTATGGACAGGTAACACCCTGGCAGTGTCTGGTAGATATGATTGAGTGTATGGACAGGTAACACCCTGGCATTGTCTGGTAGATATGAGTGTATGGACAGGTAACACCCTGGCAGTGTCTGGTAGATATGAATGTATGGACAGGTAACACCCTGGCAGTGTCTGGGAGATATGAATGTATGGACAGGTAACACCCTGGCAGTGTCTGGTAGATATGAATGTATGGACATGTAACACCCTGGCAGTGTCTGGTAGATATGATTGAGTGTATGGACAGGTAACACCCTGGCAGTGTCAGGTAGATATGATTGAGTGTATGGACAGGTAACACCCTGGCAGTGTCTGGGAGATATGAATGTATGGACAGGTAACACCCTGGCAGTGTCTGGTAGATATGAGTGTATGGACAGGTAACACCCTGGCAGTGTCTGGGAGATGTGATTGAGTGTATTGACAGGTAACTCCCTGGCAGTGTCTGGTAGATGAGTGTATGGACATGTAACTCCCTGGCAGTGTCTTGTAGATGAGTGTATGGACAGGTAACATCCTGGCAGTGTCTGGTAGATATGAATGTATGGACAGGTAACACCCTGGCAGTGTCTGGGAGATATGAATGTATGGACAGGTAACACCCTGGCAGTGTCTGGTAGATATGAGTGTATGGACAGATAACACCCTGGCAGTGTCTGGGAGATGTGATTGAGTGTATTGACAGGTAACTCCCTGGCAGTGTCTGGTAGATATGAATGTATGGACAGGTAACATCCTGACAGTGTCTGATAGATATGACTTAGTGTATGGACAGGTAAAACCCTGGCAGTGTCTGGGAGATGTGATTGAGTTTTTGGACAGGTAACAGCCTGGCATTGTCTGGTAGATATGATTGATCGTATGGACAGGTAACACCCTTGCAGTGTATGGTAGATATGAATGTAATGACAGGTAACACCCTGGCAGTGTCTGGTAGATATGATTGAGTGTATGGACAGGTAACACCCTGGCATTGTCTGGTAGATATGAGATTATTGATAAATAACTGTCTGGTAATGTTCAATAGATTGTTGTGACATTTACAAGTAGCACAGTGTTATACTGTATGTCTAACAGTGTCTCAATCTATTTCAGCTGCTCTGAGAAAGTACCAAGAAGTAAATGGCGTTCTCCCTCAGAGGATCTTCATCTATCGTGATGGTGTTGGAGACGGCCAGCTGGAGGCCGTCGTCAGTCATGAGCTGCCCCAGGTCATGGAGAGCTTTCAACGCAGTGGACAGGAATGGTAAAGCTACAACACTTGCATCTCTCTGTTGGATGCCACACAAACCAAGAATATGTTGTCAGGGGAGTACTACATGTAGAGCTACAACACTTGCATCTCCCTGTTGGATGCCACACAAACCCAGGATATGTTGTCAGGGGAGTACTACATGTAGAGCTACAACACTTGCATCTCTCTGTTGGATGCCACACAAACCCAGGATATGTTGTCAGGGGAGTACTACATGTAGAGCTACAACACTTGCATCTCTCTGTTGGATGCCACACAAACCCAGGATATGTTGTCAGGGGAGTACTACATGTAGAGCTACAACACTTGCATCTCCCTGTTGGATGCCACACAAACCCAGGATATGTTGTCAGGGGAGTACTACATGTAGAGCTACAACACTTGCATCTCTCTGTTGGATGCCACACAAACCCAGGATATGTTGTCAGGGGAGTACTACATGTAGAGCTACAACACTTGCATCTCTCTGTTGGATGCCACACAAACCCAGGATATGTTGGCAGGGGAGTACTACATGTAGAGCTACATCATGTAAATCATCATGTCTTGTGATGTTTCATATCAAATTTCAAACTTTTATTGACCAAGTTTGTTATGCCTGTTTATTCACCTGAATTCGCTGAAGAATGCGATAACGCTCATCAATTATTTGGACCCCGTTTGATTTTTAAGATGTCTGGACAGAAAATTTAAATGTGCGGCAAGCAATATTTTAAACCAGACATTTAAGATTCCCAATCTGACATGTCCGGCGCATATGACCGTTTCCGGACCCCTGCTTGTATATCTGTTAAATGTTCACATTGACCCAGTCCTTCGAGGAGTGAGTGAGGGACTTGGGTTTAATGCCGCTGTGAACAGTATTTCACTTATATAACTGAGTGCAGCTTAATGTGGGAGGAAAGCCCGAAGTGATGCAAATCTCATATGTTTAGCACTTTGGTGAAACTCACAAGCATGGGTATGGTGCTGACAAACCTAGAAACATAATCAGGGTTGAACCGGGATTCGAACCCACTATCACAGGTTCCTGGCGTGGCCAAGGGACACAACTCTCCCAGCAACTTTGACAACTGTGTCTCCCATTGAGAAATGACAAGGGAAAAAGAAGTATGATTTTGAAATTATTTTTTTTCAAATCTTTACTTCAAAGGTTATTTTGAGCTTTTTATTTCAGTCCACGTGTGTCGTTCATTGTGGTGAAGAAGCGAATTGGCACAAGACTGTTCTCCAAGACCAACCGTGTGAGCAACCCCCCTCCTGGCACACTAGTGGACTCAGTCATCACCAAGAAGGAATGGTGAGCTCAGAGCTGGGAGGAGATCTAGCATCTAGTACTCATTCCCCACCTTTAATTTTGAAGCTGCTGACAATGAAAAACAGATGTTTAGGCTTAAAAAAATAAAAGAATTGGTTCTCAGGCAATGACTTTTGAAACTATAGAGCGGTCAGGCGGTGTTTTTGGGTTTGTTTTGGTTTGTTGAAACTAGTATGTAACCAAGTAACCATCATCCAGGGAAAGGGCCACCCTACATAAAGAAGCATACAAACTCCTATTGCTGATGGGCGGTGCCTGAGAACCAAGACTATTATATTTGGAGGAGTGGGGGATCCGGGTTAGAACAGGTCTTCAGCAGCCTATGCTTGTTCCTAATGAAGATCCGGGTTAGAATTGGTCTTCAGCAGCCTATGCTTGTTCCCCATGAAGATCCGGGTTAGAATTGGTCTTCAGCAGCCTATGCTTGTTCCCCATGAAGATCCGGGTAGAATTGGTCTTCAGCAGCCTATGCTTGTTCCCTGTGAAGATCCGGGTTAGAATTGGTCTTCAGCAGCCTATGCTTGTTCCCCCTGAAGATCCGGGTAGAATTGGTCTTCAGCAGCCTATGCTTGTTCCCTGTGAAGAACAACACACTTGAATAAGATCGGTGCTAATGATATCCATCATTGGGTTGTCACGTCCCGACTTGATTATTTACAAACAAAGGTCATAAAAGCTCCTATTGCTGCCATGACCATAACATTAGGTGTGTGCGCACTGCTTTTTTGTGCATTTAAGGGGATGTAAGCACATGCTATATTGAATCGTATTCTTCTTAACATGCTTAAGTATTAGGTTTTTTATATATTTTTTGAAAATGGAAATAAAAGCAATACATGTGGGAGACTTTATGATTTTGGGATGGTGCTTATTTTTTTACCCTTACAAAACTCATTTTTCGCATTACAAAACTTTGGAGCCACTCATTGATATTGGTTGGGATCTCATCACAGGTATTGTCACCACTTCTGATATTAAGAGAATGACTTAAGAAATTCACTAGAAGTCACTAAGATGTAAGTTGTGGAATGTTATTACGCTCACTGTTTCAACCCTGACAGTAATGTTCTGCGTTGTTTCACAGTACCAAAAGACCTAAAAGATGGCACTTGTTGTTACCCTGCCTGGCGATCGTCATTTAGGTGATTAACAAGGACTGGTTGGCTATAACACTGGAATTAGTCCAGAATAGTAAAGGCAACCACACACACATCTGTATGCATTGTGCTGAATAAGAGCAGTAACCTTGAACAAGATGTTAAATCCCATTTCACCTCACCTTACCCGTCTCACCTCAACTTACCCCACCTCAACTCATCTCACCTCACCCCACTTCATCTCACCTCAACTCACCCACATATCTCCTCACCTTACTGCATCTCACCTCACCTCATCCCACTTCACCTCACCCATCTCACCTCAATTCACCCCATATCTGCTCACCACATCTCACCTCATCCCATATCTCCTCACCCTACCCCATCTCACCTCATCCCACTTCACCACACTCATCTCACTTCAACTCACCCCATATCTCCTTACTCACCTCACCCCATCTTACTTCAACTCACCCTATTTCACCTTACCCATCTCTTCTCGCCCCATCTCAACTCACCACATCTCAACTCGACCCATATCTCCTCACCCTACCCAAGCTCACCTCACCTCAACTCACCCCCATATCTCCTCACCTTACTGCATCTCACCTCACCTCATCCCACTTCACCTCACCCATCTCACCTCAACTCGACCCATATCTCCTCACCCTACCCAAGCTCACCTCACCTGATCTCACCCTATCTGTCATCACCTTACTCATCTCACCTTACCCCATCTCAACTCACCACAACTCAACTCACCACATCTGATCTCATCCCATATCTCCTCACCCTACCCCATCTCACCTCACCTGATCCCACCCTATCTGCCATCACCTCACCCCATCTCACCTCACCTCATCTCACCACATCTCAACACAACACATCTCACCTCACCCAATATCTCCTCATCCCCACCCCATATCTCCTCACCTCACCTCACCCCATCTCACCTCACCTCACCTCACTTTGTTCCATAATAGGTACGACTTCTTCCTGGTGAGCCAGTCAGTGAGACAGGGCACGGTGTCCCCCACCCACTACAACGTCATCTGGGACGACTCCAATCTTCTTCCGGACCGCATGCAGAGACTGGCCTACAAGATGACCCACCTGTACTACAATTGGCCGGTCAGTATCACAGCTAGAACTATCTCGTGTCTCACTCTGGCAGTGTGGGTTGGAATCTCGGATGGGACTCGGCCCCAAAAAGTACTAGAATCTGTACTGTACTAAGAAAGTGTTATCCCAAATATAACATTTGTTACATATGACCACTTTCTAAATGGCATTGTGCATTCATAGCTTTCCGCCATGTGAGCCATGCCAATTTCACTTGTCAGAGGGGTACAAAAAGTATGTGATCTAGAATACCAGTTGATGGACTTTTATTTTGGTGGAAGCCACAGTGGCTGTGGGTTAGATCACTGACTTTGTGTGCTGGCGATTAGGTGCCTCACTCTTGGAGTGTGGGTTCCAATTCCATATGGGATTCAACCCCAAAGAGTACTAGAATCTTTGCTTTACCTAGAAAGTGTTATCCCAAATATTATGTTTGTTAAACCTTATGTTCTACCAATTCCCACTCACCCATGATGATCCGGGGTAGAATAGGTCTTCAACCCATTCTTGCTGTAAAAGGCGACTAGGCTTGTCATAAGGGGCGACTAACAGGATCGGGTGGTCAGGCTCGCTGACTTGGTTGATGCATGTCATCGTATCCCAATTGCGTGGATTGATGCTCATGATGTCAATCACTGGATTGTCTGGTCCAGACTGGATTATTTTCAGACCGCCGTCATATAGCTGGAATATTGCTGCGTGCAGCGTTAAACAACAAACAAACAAACAAACAAACAAAATAAACCAGTTACACTCCATAGGCATTCAGGCTTAGAATAAGCTGGTAATCTGGTCTTCAGCAACATATGTTTGTCATAAGAGATCAAAATTGATTGCATCGTACCCAGATGGTGTTGGATATTACTCACAGTATCAGTCACTGGATTACGATAAAGTCAAAATGTATGGACAACAAGTTCTGGTCTAATGCATGCAGTGGCATTTCGATGTAGATTCTAGTACCGTTATGACTAGTCACTGGATTGTCTGGTTCCGACTTGATCATTTACAGGCCAGTGTCATATAGCTGAAACTTTGGGGAGTGCAGGGTTAAGCAACAGAAACTTCTAATTATGATTTGATTCCATCACAGTAGCGAGGAATAGATCCCCAATGCTCTAAGAAGACTAAAGAGGAGCATCTTCCTGAGGCAAGGGAGTTAACTGACTTTAAAAGTCCAATTTCCACCCTTGCCGAACTAGGCTGGAATTTTGGGGTTATATTTTGGCTGGACTAACAAGTCGATGCATAAAAGGAAATTGATAAACTCATTGTTGTTGATTAATAATTAATCATATGGAACTGCATTCAGGATATGTGGATAATTTGATCCATCTTCTTTGTCTATCAACGAGTTATCCTCTCTGTTTCAGGGGACCATTCGGGTACCTGCCCCATGCCAGTATGCTCACAAACTGGCGTTCCTCGTCGGTCAGAGCCTACACCGGGAGCCATCTCCACACCTGGCTGACAGACTCTACTACCTGTAGACAAGCTGTCTCCAAGTGTGTTGGATTCTAGTTGATGTTAGCTGATGCATCTTTCAGATGTTTGAAGGTGCCCTTGTATTGATTTCGCCTCTCGGATTGGCCTGGCCCCTTATATTGGCCTGGCCCCTTGTATTGGCCTGGCCCCTTGTATTGGTGTGGTCTGGCCCCTCGTATTGGCCTGGCCCCTTGTATTGATTTGGCCCCTTGTATTGATTTGGCCTCTTGGATTTGCCTGGCCTCTTGTATTGATGTGACCCCTTTTATTGGTGTTGCCCCTTGTATTGATATGGCCCCTCGTATTGACCTGCTCCCTTGTATTGGTGGAGTCCCTTGTATTGATGTGACCCCTTTTATTGGTCTGGCCCCTTGTATTGGCCTGGCCCCTTGTATTGATGTGGCCCCTTGTATTGGCCTGGCCCCTTGTATTGATGTGGCCCCTTGTATTGGCCTGGCCCCTTGTATTGGTCTGGACCCTTGTATTGGCCTGAACCCTTGTATTGGTGTGACCCCTTGTATTGGCCTGGCCCCTTGTATTGGTCTGGACCCTTGTATTGGTCTGGCCCCTTGTACTGGCCTGGCCCCTTGTATTGACCTGGCCCCTTGTATTGGCCTGAACCCTTGTATTGGCCTGGCCCCTTGTATTGGTCTGGACCCTTGTATTGGCCTGAACCCTTGTATTGGTCTGGACCCTTGTATTGGCCTGAACCCTTGTATTGGTGTGACCCCTTGTATTGGCCTGGCCTCTTCTTTGGTGTGGCCCCTTGAACTGGTGTTGCCCCTTGTATTGGCCTGTCCATTTCTATTGGTGTGGTCTGGCCCCTTGTATTGACCTGGTCCCTTGTATTGGTGGAGTCCCTTGTATTGATGTGACCCCTTTTATTGGTGTGGCCCCTTGTATTGGTGTTGCCCCTTGTATTGATGTGGCCTCTTGTATTGGTCTGGCCCCTTGTATTGGCCTGGCCCCTTGTATTGATGTGGCCCCTTGTATTGGCCTGGCCCCTTGTATTGGTCTGGACCGTTGTATTGGCCTGAACCCTTGTATTGGTGTGACCCCTTGTATTGGCCTGGCCCCATGTATTGATGTGGCCTCTTGTATTGGCCTGAACCCTTGTATTGGTGTGACCCCTTGTATTGGCCTCGCCCCTTGTATTGGTCTGGCCCCTTGTATTGGCCTGGCCCTTGTATTGGTCTGGCCTCTTGTATTGGCCTGAACCCTTGTATTGGTGTGACCCCTTGTATTGGCCTGGCCCCTTGTATTGGTCTGGCCCCTTGTATTGACCTGGTCCCTTGTATTGGCGGAGTCCCTTGTATTGATGTGACCCCTTTTATTGGTGTGGCCCCTTGTATTGGTGTTGCCCCTTGTATTGATGTGGCCTCTTGTATTGGTCTGGCCCCTTGTATTGATGTGGCCCCTTGTATTGGCCTGTCTCCTTGTATTGGCCTGAACCCTTGTATTGGCCTGTCCCTTTCTATTGGTGTGGTCTGACCCCTTGTATTGACCTGGTCCCTTGTATTGGTGGAGTCCCTTGTATTGATGTGACCCCTTTTATTGGTGTGGCCCCCTTGTATTGGCCTGGCCCATTGTATTGGTGTGGCCCCTTGTACTGGTGTTGCCCCTTGTAGTACCTGGCCCCTTGTACTGGTTTTGCTCCTTGTATTTGCTGAACCACAGCACAGGAACAGTTGAACTTCTATTAACCTTGGTACTATTTTACTTCACAATGTGTTATACAATGTACCATGTCATATGTTAGTCCTAGCTGTGCATGGTTTACATGTTGTGCTTTATACAAATTAATTGGACTGTCAATGACCTTATGTTTATTGTAGCTTATATATTTGTCATTCATAGACTAATAAATGACATACTTAATAATAATGGTATTGTGCATATTTACAATGAGCCAAATCCACACCCTAAAGCATGTTCAAAGCACCACATGATTACCAGTCAATGGATCAGTGCTCTCTCCATTATGTTTCTCAGCTCCCTAGGGAGTATACAACCCAAGCAGCCTGTGAGGAAATAGAAGGTTGAGGGGTTACAGTTTTCCCTTCAGCAAATCCAACGTCTGGCAGGAGGAGCGACAGGTGGAGGCCGTCATTTGGGCACTGGAGTTTACTTTTACTGAACCTTTGAGCTACAGGTGTTACTCAAAGGGACTATTCACCCCAGAAATAGTCACCTGAAATCGTGGTATGAACTTTGTACTCCATACAAAAGATATATATTATTTAGGGGTGAAAACATCAGCTGTACTTTGCTAACTGTCTCAAATCGTTTGCCTCCACTCTGAAGCTGGCCAATTTACGTGCAGCATAACATCATGTGCGTACATGACTATGTTTATCATCACCTGATCATTCGGATGCAGCGTGGGTAGCACACAACAACATGTACTCTGCTTATGGACAGATAATCGAATTCAGATAGAATATCAATTTTCACGAAACTCCAGAGAGATCATATGCATGCATCTGAAAACTCTTTGTCTTATTGACATATTTTGTTTGAATTTGTGATTCTTTTGCAGTTTACAAGGATCTATTGCACACTTTGTAAACAAATACGTTTGAAATCAAGTAGAAGGACATCCATTTTTGTATCGCAGTATTGGAAGCATTGTGGCATAATTGGTTCAGAACATCCCCAATAAACAAAACATGACGTTGAAACTTCACAGCATTCATCCCCGTAACTACTTACGACCTTAGACTTTATTTTGCTAATGAGTAGCTAAGTTCAAGTGTTTCATACAAGAAAGAACAACACTCGTCCATGAGATACTGTTTTAGTACAGTTGGTGTATTTTAAAACATGTTTCAAATGCGCTCGTAATACAAACATTTTCTAATGGGACTCCTTTAGTGATCTACGTTTCTTTCTATTATGGAACCTGATTAAGCACCATATTCTCATAATGTAAAAAAGCTGAAATGAAGAGGTGAAATTTGCAGCAACGCAATTGTGTTGCCGTTAAATCATACCATGCATATCAAGAAGGTGTTTGTGATAATATTACATTGAGCCCCTGAAAAATTGTGTTTATAACGATGTATACGTTTCTTTTGACCACCATGTCAAGCATCTGGGAATTGTTGACGGTGAAGCGAAAATGCAGCAGAAAAGGTACTGATACATTTGTGCTTCACATAAATGCATGCGTGTTAGTGTTACGGTCATCTTATAGTTTTACAGAATGTGTCTTTGAGATCATATTTCCTCCTACGTCAAGCTGACACGCTTATTACTAGAATACTTTTCAAAGCGAAATTGAACCCAAACACGGATCAGGTGGTCAGGCTCGCTGACTTGGTTCATGCATGTCATCATATCACAAATTGGGTGAATCGAGGCTCATGATATCAATCACTGGATTGTCTGGTCCAGACACGATTATTTACAGACCGCAGTAATATACCTGGAATATTGCCATGCAGCGTTAAACAACAAACACTCTTACATCAAATAAGCCGCCTCCGTGGTCTAGTGGTAGAGCGTCCGCCCGGGTTCGATCCCCGACCGCGTCATACCAAAAGACGTTAAAAGATGGTACTTGTTGTTACCCTGTCTGGCGCTCGGCATTAAGGGGCTAAAACAAGGACTGGTCGGCCTCAGAGTCAGTAGGGTGTGTCTGAGTGAGGTATTCATGTTAAACTGCGGCATGGTATCTCAGTGAGCTAGCACTATAAATCGGTATCAGTCCGGACTAGTACAAGCAGCCACACACACACACACGTGCATGCACGTCGCTATATAAGTGCAATAATCTTGGACGCGACTTTAAACCCCATTTCACCTCACCTTACATCAAATAGCCAACATTCTAACTTGATAACGGGACTCGATTTTGGACCAGATTCTCCATTGAGTGATATTGTGAGCCGCGACACACAACCGTTAGGGTTTGACGACACAGAATCAACCAAGGTACCGAGCATGACGAATGGACCCATCAAATATCCAATTAGGACCAGAACATGCTGCAGGTTATCTATTTCTAACCTGAAATCCCCATGGGGTTGTAAAAAACTACAATAATTTATTGGTCTTCATTAACCCATGCTTGTCGTAAGAAGCGAACGAGATTTCGGTGGTCAGGCTCGCTTGACTGTCTCAATCACTGGACTGTCTGGTACAAACTTGATAATTTACAGACCGGCGTCATATATACTAGCCACATAAAGAAACTGTGCACGGAGAAAATATATTCTGGATTGAAATACAACACAGCAAGAACAAAATGATGCAGACGCTGTAGCAGCTGAATGATCGGACCATAAGAAAATGTCAACGGGACCTGAACAACATCTGTTACGATGACGTCAGAAAATCAAAATGGAGTAGGGGGTCAAACGACAAAGTCACAAAGTCAATAACGGGTATGACCACCCTGTGCGTGAATCACAGCAGTGCATCGGCGACGCATGGAGTCCACCAAATGGGCATGGAAGGCCTGGGCAATGGCCTGCCATATCCTCCTCAAATCCTGTGCCAAGTCACGGACGTTATCTAGAGGATGTGGAAGACGACGCAGACGGCGCTCCATTTCATCCCACACATGCTCTATTGGGGAGAGATCTGGAGAATGTGCAGGCCATGGCAGTAACATGACATTGTTATGGTGAAGGAAATCCATTGCGACCCTAGCCATGTGAGGACGAGCGTTGTCCTGTTGAAATGTCAATCCCGGGCCATGACGTTGCAGGAAAGGAATGACCACAGGCCTCAGAATCTGATCTCTGTAGCCAACACCAGTGAGATTGCCCTGAACAACCCCCAAAAGGGTTCGGTGCCGTGCTGTTATCCCACCCCAAATCATCACAGAGCCACCTCCAAAACGATACCTTTCCACAATACAGTTGCGTGCATAACGTTCTCCCAAACGCCGGTAGACACGTTGGCGCCCGTCACTGTTGGAAATGTTGAACCTCGATTCATCTGTAAAGACAACATTTCTCCACCATGTTCGAGGTTGGCGAACATGATTTCGACACCATCTTAGACGGTTGACTCGATGACGGTGTGTCAGGATGGGACGTATGGCAGGGCGTCGTGGTCGAATCCCGTACTGTCGTAAACGATTCCTGACAGTGTTGGGATGGATACGGCGCAGTCCAGGAATTGTCTGGGACGTCGTTACTGCCGTTTGGAACCTGTGTCGGATATGTGTAACTCGAATCCATCTGTCCTGTATTGGCGTCGTTACTCGGGGACGTCCTGAACGTGGGTGGTCGGCAACGTCATTTGTGTTCTGATAACGCCTCACCAATGCCGATATCGTGTTACGATGGCATTGGAAATGTGTTGCCACCTGTTGTTGCCTCATTCCCGCTCGGATCATTCCAATGGCTTCATGACGCTGTGCAGCTGTCAATCTTGGCATGATTTGCTTGTGATATGCTTGTGTCTGCGCCTGAGAAGTTTTGAATTTTTGAATGACCACAGATCATGCTTTCCAAAGTGACAGCGAATTTTGAGTTGCACATGCTGTGTACTGCTGCACAGGATGCACGTGCAGTAACACATTGCACGTCCATAGGCCCCCATCAATGACGTCATATCGCACGGCACATGCATTAGCGTTTGAATGTCTCCAATAATTGCTGTGTTCAAACCTATATTTCATATATGGACGGTGTGCCCTTATATCTATATTTTCTCCGTTCACAGTTTCTTTATGTGGCTAGTATAGCTGGAATATTGCCGATGGCGACGTTAAACGAAACAAGTAAATAATCAAGTCTGGACAAGACAATACAGTGACTGACATTTTGAGCAAACAAACCCTGCCATCGTGGTACCATGGCACAGAACCAACCGATTCGCAGAACCTTACCAAAGATCCATTATCTTATGTTCATCAGGGGTTGTTGCATGGCGACCACGGGGTTTCAAGATAAGCTTTGGGCAGTATTGCCATGTCATAGCAACATTGAATAAAGAACTTTAGCCGCATGGGTCGCTGTCATTTTTATCACCTTGTCTTGAAGTTAAAAATCTTCAAGGTTACCATCTTACGGCATCACACCTCAAATCGAGCGGCATAGTACACAACTCACTCACTCACTCAACATGGCTTGGACTAATACCTAACTGCACAGCTGATTTTGAACATTGCATTAAACATGAAGCAGCGTGCTAGAAGCACATAAATTAAATGAGTATCACTGACGGCATGTGGACCTTCAACGAAGTCGTTGTGTCCGGGGCACGGGTGGCCCAGTCGCCTAAGGCGCCGCGATTCGCTGTGCAGAGTTGCGTCCCTTGTGCACGCCAGAAACCTATGATTGTGGGTTCGAATCCCGGTTCCCGATTACGTTACTAGGTTTGTCAGCACCATACCCGTGCTCTTTGGTTTCACCGAAGTGGTAAACGTCTAAGACCTGCATCACTTAGGGCTTTCCTCCCACATTAAGCTGACACGTCGTGATATAACTGAATACTGTTAAAAGTGGCGTTAAACCAAACTCACTCACTCACCCCCAAATGCGGGATCGATGCTCATGATGTCAATCACTGGATTGTCTGGTCCAGAGATGATTATTCATAGACCCCATCATGACTAAATGGATCGAATGTTCGGGGCGGTATGTTTGATCACGTATCACTGGTTTTATCTTGCCAGAATTATTTATCTGCTGACCGTTATCATGTTGCTGGTGTATCACCCCCCTGGCGTCCCGTGAAGATCCGGGATGGAATAGGTCTACATAAACCCATGCTTGTAAAAGGCGACTAACGGGATCGGGTGGTCAGGCTCTAATGTATTATGCTATATGCGCTATCATCGAGTTCCAGTGTGAGACGACTGCCACTGAACGATACCTTACCTTCAGAAAAGATCTTTCCAAAGTCCGGTTAGTTGTAGTCGT